TGTCGAAACCCGATTTCAAGAAGACATGTTGGATAACGAACATCTTCAATATTTTTATTCCCGGATTATATTATTAATGTTGTTATTAGTATTTTTTAGCTTATTTGCTCAATTATTTTTTAAATTAACTTAGAGCTTGTTTCTTCACAGTAGATTGTTTCATGTGATACATACATTGGAAATATTTTTTTTCAACGTGTTTGTTTCCAATGGTTTGTTTACAATGAATTACTTAGAGCAGCAGAATTAGTTGTATAACACCACCTTTGGCGAATACATTTCTGAAGTATAATAGTCACTGAAAAAGTGATATTAGTTTTCCTTCAATAAACGTTACTAAATTTTGGGATTGAAGTCTGTAAGTGCGAAGGTGATAGTATGATTATATTAATGTTGATTAGTTCAACATTTCATTCTTAATGGATGGCTGAATACTTTAGCGCCCTTTATTTCTGGGCCAGACCAGCGCCTTTTCGGCTCCACGTTTCGCGCGCTCTGGAAGTTGAAGCCGCTGAATGGCGGATGGCGGGGCCTCCTGCCGCAGATGGGCTTCCGGTTGGCCCTATCGCCGGAAGCAGATAGCGCTCGCGTGGCCGGGCCGCGCCGCGACGCCCAGCGCCGCCTCGCGCCCCACGGCTGCAAATACACTCCCAGGTCGCGCGCTGGCGGTCTTCTTGTTTCGCACCCGTAGGAACGACGACGGAAGTGTTGCCGTTTGCCGATACAGACCATACTCATGTTGGTCAGGATCGGTTATGAAAACTAAGGCTCTCCAACCACTAAAGAGTCGGCCCCTTTTATTGAAACTTTAACTAACTAACTTTTACTAACCATTTCCTGGAGTACCTACCTACTTATTATTCCACAAAACATTAAGGTATTACGCCAAAAAAATGTTCTAGAATAAAGCGAAACAAACAGAAATAAAAACGAAAGACGCCGGATTTGGCACGTGAATTATCACATAATCAATAATGATAAATTATTTTCTATTCTTAGTTCTTTCCATTGCGCTCTGCGATTGTATCCCCTTCCAGGTTGTTGGTAGATACATATACGAAATTTAACCAATCGTTCTGGCCCTAATGAAAGTGATGTTTTCTTTCCGCGGGTAATGCAAACTAGCCCAGACGTAATTTCGAGTGGTCGAAGCGGTCATTTTGAAATTTCCGGGGCTAATGGGCAATGTATTCCTAGTCGTGCTTACCTGTAGAGGCACGACGCCCTATTTTACTTCCAAATGTGGCGCTTCGTGGCGAGGTTTGTTTTAATTCATTAGGTTGACTCGGGTTCAACAGTTGCGCTGTTCCGGACCTGCGGATTAATATTGCAAGGCGTCGAGCGCGCGAGAGGTCTCGCCGACGAGAGTTCCCGTTTAGAAAACCCTCTCAGCGCGCGCGGCTCGGCTCGGCGCGGCGCAGCGCAACTCCTCGCCCGCAAGGCGAGTGGGGGCGGGGAGGGCGGAGTGGTGGGAAGGTGGGAAAGCCCGTGGCGTTCGTGCAGATGGCATCGATCGAGGTACCACCTCTCCCACCCGTCTGTGCTTCCTCCTCCGCCGCCGCCGCCGCCGCCGCATTCACGTCTTCGCGCTGTCTGCGCTGAGTGCAGCCAATGCGCCCCGTCGCTGCATTGAACGCCACCTCGGCTTGACGAGGACGGGGCGGCAGAGGGATTGGAATGGGTAGGTGGGCTTGGGAAAGGGCGGGGGGAGAGAAGGACTCGAAGGAGGCAGGCGCAGGATGGTCATGGGGCGGGCAAGGGACGGGACGGGGCGGAGGGGAGACGCGGGCGGAGGGCGCGGACGGGGGCGAGGGGACGCGGCGCGGAGGGGGACGGGGCGGGCACGGGGTGGAGAGGGGACGGGACGGGGCGAGAACGGAGCGGGGACGATAACGGAGATGGTGAAGGTGCCAGGAGGCGGCTGCGCAAGCCACCGCTATTAAGCCCAACTGAGCGCTCGTAAAATGAACCCTGCGCTACTCCATAAACGATCGTCTTACGAGTACTAACCGCAGGATCAAAACAAACAGAATGCACTAATTTTCTAAATGAGCAGTTCTCTTTTGACGAAGGAGAACCATCTTTGTCAATGTATGGTAGACAATTTAAACATAAATTTTGACTGAACAAGAATATACATTGTTTTACAAATTTATATAAGAATTGAAATTTCTTTCCAATTTATGAAACGTTATTTTCGTATTATTCCGTTAATCAGGTTTTTTTCCAGAGTATACGAATGAATGAAAACAAACAGTGCGAAATTAAAGTATATTTTATATTCTTAAAATATAAATCAATACTTCGCTTTTATGAAATGTAGAAATCTCGAAGGGCCGCGTGAATCCTTTCTGGAAATTAAGAAAGCACTTACTTCCATGGAAACAATAGATAATGATATTCATGACATATCTTCTTAAAATTGAAATTAACGATTCCACGTAGCGTAGAAAAATTTAGCTTTTTTAGTTATGAAAACTAAATTTCTGGTGAATTGTCTATCTTCTAATTTTAAAATCTCATCCAATTACACCTTAAAATCTTTGTCCACATTATATCGCTTTTATCGGAAACGAGTCAGTAGCATTAAACAATTGCAATATGTTAATTCTACCATTTTCTCTGTCACTATAACAATTAAACAGTTTATATTATTATTATTATTATTATTATTATTATTATTATTATTATTATTAATGATAATAGTTGTTATTGTGTTGTGTACAACAGTCTCTTGAGCGAGCGTGTTTTGACATTTGGGCATTCGAGGGTGATTGACGGGTTACCTTTCCATCCATCCTCTCCGATGCGAACTGGGCCTTTCCATTTGCCTCGACTCCTGTTTCCAAAGCCCCCCGCCCCTGCTCACTCCAACTCTTGTTTCCTTTGATTTCTCAATCTCATTCCGAATTCACCGTTTTAAGAGGCGGTTCTGTGTCTTTGGAAGCTTTTGAATTTTATTTGCTAAATTCTCTTCAGCTTTTACCTATTCAAAGTTCCGGTATCGAAATTCAGTCTCAAGTAATTACTTCACCTAGATTTGAATAGAGTTGATTTTCAATGAAGGGCTTTTCTGGAGAGGTGGCATAAGTGCATCAACTGATGTCACTGCAGTGCCTCTGATCGGGAGGTCCTGTTAATATTGCTGATTGATATGTAATCTGTTTTTAATTGTTTTGGAAACGGATTTCGTATATAGAAATTGATGCTTGTGCCAGTTGTTTGGGATAAGAAATGGAGTTCGCTTCGTGACAGTACTGTGCCGTTTTTTATATCATATATAATTATTAATATGCTGAGAATATAAGTGCCTCTATAGTTATTTGTGGCATATTGTTAATGAATTATTGTAGTGCGTGAGAAAGTGTTGAATTTAACGAATACTTGCACTGTTGCGTCTTTACGAGGAATTTTGAGAGACACTGTATCTTTATTTGCGATTGTTATATTGCTCCATGTTTGAAGTTTTCTGGGAACAGAATTTATATTAATACGTATAAATCATGGAATTGATTCAAATTATTATAAATTTTTTAACAACACTTCAATTTTATCTCCTATTCTGCTAGTTTTGAAATCTAGAATAATGTATTCAGGATGTAAGTAAGAGAAACGCATGTCGAATTTTGATTTTTTAGATCCCTTTTTAACAACGTGGTCATACAGCAATTCCTGTGATTGTTTTAACTGTAGAGGGATCTGTAGAAAAAACGTAACAACACGATCACTCACAAACATCCATGCCCGAGGCGGGATTCGAATCCGCGTCCTTCGAGCCGAGGGAGCCGCGGCCCTTCATTCTTGGCGACCTCGGCTATCCGGGCCGGCTCGCATTTTTATTATTGTCCCCAGAAAGACGTAATGTCTAATTAAAAATTTCACTTCGGCTCCTGCAAAGTAAATGTTAATGGCTTATCCATCGGTGCCCAGTGTTTTAAATTGGCTGGGTTCGAGACCGAATAAAATTTCGAGAAACTCTCTGTCCTAATTTATACATCGTTAAAATAGCCTTAAAACCTTTTCGATGGCTGTGGCCGCGAAGTAAGGGCACCCGGCGCCGCCTCTTATCACAGCTTCCGCGGGCGCGACTCGGGAGCTGCCGCAGACCTGTTCCACTTTCTTTCTGCCCCATAAAGTAACTGCGTCTATTTCCACACACTGCGCCTTCCATCAACGTCTTCCCAGGAGGCGAAAGCACTATTTTGAATGTATTTTTGGAACGATCGCCGTATATGTGTCAGGTTTCTTCGTTACAGAAGAAATATCTTTCTTCAAACCACAACATCTTATTTTCTCCTGTTAATTTGAATTCAGAACTAAATCAACTACCATAAAAAAGGAATGGGTCAGTCTGATATGCAAAAGGTGACCGATTCAACATCATAAATTGGGACAACTTCAAATGAGACTCGCGAAGACTTGGAGTGGGTTTATGGAAAGTAAAGTGACAGGATTTGTTCGTACACGTTGAATTCGAAAGTACTATGCGCAACAATAAATTAAACTTCTTTTAACTTCATGTTATAAACATTTTTGTGGAAAGTTACACTTAAAAGTACTTTTCTGCCTAAGGAAAAGTTAGTGATTCTCTTCAAGCGCAGTTTAAAATGCATACAAGAAATTTTAAACGTTTTAAAAACTTCAAAATATTATGGTAAAATAAAGCTTATTACAACATTCCCTTCTCAACTCAATGCCATAATACCTAAAAAAAAAGAACAGCGTATTTAAACATCATTCACAACAGGTATGAAGGGCTTAAAAACCCTCGCCTGAGAGTCTCAAAGCAAGTTCAGATGCACCTTTCACTTCATTTAGTGCATTCCCGCCCGCTAATCCACTGCAGTTGAAAAGTCCCCTCCCTATTGCCACTCGAACTTCACGCGTAATGCCACTCACAATCTAGGTCAATTGCTAACACGAATGGAAAAAAAAGATTAAAACCCTTTTTAACGCTTCATACAGGAGTTTACATTAGGCGACAGGTTCGCGGCGTGTTAATGGAGAGGGGGGAAAAAGAAGAAAAAAAAAAGAAAAAATGGAAAAAAAAGAGCGAGCATCCAGCACGCGCCGTTGCGTACTATTTGCGAGATTCGCAGGACGCGGTGCCTGCAGACCTGGTGCGGCTTGGGGATTTGAGTACGTCGAGGAGAATGTGTTCACTTCGTCCATATTATTTATTTATTTTTACTTTCTCGCCATTACTCGAAGAACTTCATAAGAAGAGGAAGTTATGTAATCGAGCGCCGGAAAACAGCGAATTTTCTGCAGAAAAACTATTGCCGTTTGTTGTACCTTGTACCTTGTTAACAAAAATGCTGATAAATCCAATTGCTAAATATATTTAAAAAATCCTCTAGCTCGTGATCAAGCTAGAATCAATGTTTTGTGTGTACTTGATAACGAAAAAAACTATTGACGACAGAATGTGTGTCTGCCCGTCTGAAGTCAACGCTAGCGCTTCAACCGTTCCGCCAAATCTGATTTTCCCCGATTGATCTGAATATTCTCGAGGCTTGGGGAGTTTAAAAAGGATATTTTGATTTTTGAAGTTACTTTACATGAAGTGACCATTTACAATTTTAAGCGTCCATGTTGGACCCATTCTTTGGCGTAGTATGAGTGACGGCGAGTTAACTCTGGAGATCTGAGTTCGGATCTCGAAAGGGAAAACGTTTTTGCTGTTTTAAAACACTTTATTCAGTTGTATAATATTGCGGAAGAATTAGAAATAATGCGAGACAATTTTTGGTTTTGTAGTACCACTAGTTGTTTGTTTATTTAACGCCAAAAACTCGCAAAACTTTGTGACGTACTTGTACTATGAGGAAAAGTGTTTTCTGTGCCCGATTTCGTAAATTCTAGCATCGTCACCCTAACCCATATAAAAGTTCAATTAAGAATACAAGTGAATACGCGGGTTTTCTGGTAAGAATTGATCAAATATTAGCTCCGTGACATAAAAATGTTTACAGTTTGGCCATTATCCCTCAGCGTGCCCTTCGTTTATGAATCCACATTCTGCCGTGAGAACGTGGAGAAAGATAATTTGAATAACTATATTTCCCAGTGAACTCCAGAAAATGTGCACAGATAGTGTGGTTTCATTTATATCCAGAAGCAAAACGAGGGGCCACCTTTGCATTTGCTAAAAGGATCAGGGAAGCTGGACGAAAAATCTGATCGAGATGGGGTCATTAACCCTGAAGCTGAAGGGCTATGCAACCGAAAGATAAACATTTGTAATTTATCCCCATTCTTCGCAAAGTACAGGGTTTAATGTGTATATAGTAGCGAACAAATTAACAAAACACGTTTCATATAACATATTATGACGTGTATTAAAAACCGATAAAATATCAGTATTTCCCAAGAGCTGTAAAGAACTGATAGTATTGAGATGTCCCATCTGATAGTATTGAGTCCTATACACGTGAATGCACCATTTGAGCATCGATTCTATAAAAATACGAATATAACAGCAAACACGCACTCTGGACTGAAGTAAGTCTTCTTTGTAAAGCATTTCATTTTTCGGAGTCTGTTCTTCACCACACTTCCTATTTTATTTGAGTTTAAAATCGATAGAATTGAGGCCGGTCAATCACTTTGATGTAGTTTGAAAAAACAAATCTGACACTTTCTTTGAAGTGTGACATGGCATGAAATCCTCTTGCAAAAAAGAGTTCTTTATTTTTAACTAGTGGTTCATTTCTATTTCCTAGTATTTTAATATGCAGTTAAATTTTAACATTATTTTAGTATGAATCAGTTCTTGATCTTCACGAGTAAAATAATCTAAGAACATTTTTATAGCTGGGTATTTTGGCACTTGCTGCAAATATTACCATGGAATGTCTTTGTATTAATTTGTGACTTAATCTTGTAGATCAATCTTTCGTTAGTTTAAGGTCGAAATGGAAACATTCTCGTAGATGGCAGCCGTGTATCTACTGTCGTCGGTGCTCATGGCCCAAGATAAAAGCACATCAGCTCGGCATCGAAAAAGAATCACAGTTAATGTAAGATGGTCACGTCAAAACCCTAAGTATGTGACGTAAAATGTCTTCGTGTTTGTGATAATTTCTACTTCCATAAACTTATGTCCTTGCCAAAGAGCGAGGATTCTCCGTGAGTTTGGTCCAGATATAAGCAGTGTTTTTGACTCCAATCATATCCCTGGAGGCTCAGGGATCGTTATTTGTTTCTTTCTATTTATTTAAAGTTAATAATTTTTAGGAGCGGATGTCGCATTTAATGCCCCCAAACAAACGAGTGACCGTCTCAGCATTTGGAAGGGATGCCGGATGATAAATGTAATCGCAATGGGGGCACAGATCGAGAAAAAGAATTTAGGACAGTAGTTGTTCGACTTATAATAGTCATTCATTTGGGTTATCTTGCATTGCTTCGACAGATTACTGGGTAGCACTCTGCGCACCTTGATTTCTACTATCTAAATGTTTGTATTTCGTTCTTTAATTACGTCGTTTAATACTTGTATTTTTTATTTAGAATTGGAAGATTCATTTTCATTAGCGTATGCATTAACTTTCTTCGAAGTAAATGTGCGACGGTAAATACATGCAGGCGAATAATTACCGCTTTATTTACGCGATTATGTTAAAGGAATAAACTGCGTTCTTTAGGTCATTGGTTGATTTCTTATAAAATTTTATTGGGGCAGGAGATAAACAAAATTGCTTCTAAGACATCTGGCCCACAAACATCTTGCCGTTGCCCGCATCTGTTTGCTGTTTCTATTGAAATTCACCTCCATCCGTTCCCTTTTGGCTGTCCGTCAGTATACGATACTTTTCGAGGGCAGAGGACTTTGTCAACAAAGTCCTTTGTCACGGAGCCATCATCCGCTTCAGTGAGGCAGGAGGGGAAAGGGTATCGAGCGATCCCCTCCAGCTGCGACGACGAGGCATAAAAATGGAGATGGCTTTATTCAAGAGGACGCAACGTTACCGAGTTCTTTTGTGGGGCCTCTTAATCATCTGCTTCTCTGATGTGGCAGAACCATTTCCATGCATCGATTATGCGTTTTTTTAAGCTGATTTTCTTCCCAGTTAGACACATCAGTTTCACGTACACTTAACGTTGTAAGGAGCTTCCTGACCAGACGTTTTCCCAAAAGCTGTGGTGAGTTTCCCGCTGATGAGACCAACGAGACGGGCATGGGCCAAGAAGTACTCGTGTAGGTACAGACTGCCCAGATCAAAAGTTCGGCGAAGTATACAGAGATTGGTGCAGAAATCTGTGTAAATGAATTGAAGAATGAACGATACAATAATACATGAACACGAATGAATGAATGAATGAATGAATAAATAAATAAATAAATAAATAAATAAATAAATAAATAAATAAATAAATAAATAAATAAATAAATAAAAAATAATTAATTAATGAATAAAAGAATGAACGAGGATAAAATAATGAACATAAATAACTTAACAGAACACTATTTACGGACGCATAGTTCAGTAGGTATACTTCAATTTATTTAGAGCCTCATTTGACAAATCGTCAGCTGTTACAGTGTCATCCAAACGGAAGCTCCCTTGTCAGTGACGTTCAACCTCATGATTGGTTGACAACATAATTGCTGTTTTACGTTAATCGACCCTCTGTTTAAATCCAAGTATTGAGTTCTTAAATCATGGTTTGTGAACCTTTCCTTTCCTCGCCACAGTATCTTTCTAGTAGCTTCTTCTTCCACTAGGAGCGCGCGCGGATTGTTCGATGGCCTCTCGCCCCACCCACGAGTGTTGCGAGGAAGCGCAGTGGCGCGCGACGCAAGTGCACGGCAGCCGCCAGGGAAGCTCTGCACCTAGCCCCGCCCCGCAAAGGCCGGCCCCTCCCGCTCCTCCGCCTCTGTCTCGCTCCTCCCCTCCCCTCTCCTCCCCGCTCGCTCGCCCGCTCCGCTCGTCGCTCCGCCTCGCCTCGCCTCGCCTCGCCTCGCCTCGCCTCGCCCCGCTCCGCTCTCGCCTCGCGCCCCGCTCCGCCGCCCGCTCGCTCTGCCGCTCCGCTCCCGCTCCGCCTCCCCGCTTCCGCCCCGCTCCCGCCCCTCCGCCCGCTCCGCCCCGCTCCGCCCGCTCCGCCCCGCTCCGCGCCCGCTCCGCCCGCTCCGCCCGCTCGCCCGCTCCGCCCGCTCCGCCCGCTCCTTCCCGCTCCGCCCCGCTTCCGCGCCGCTCCGCCCCGATCCGCCGGCTCGCCCCGCTCCCTCTCCGCCTACGGCCGCCGCCCCCTCCCGCTCCGCTTCGCTCGTCGCTAACAAGCGCCCGTTACGTAAAAGCACACGCCGCGCCGCGCCGCTCCAGGGAATCACCCGATTGCATCCCGCGATCAGGTTTCCCTCCCCCCTCCTTCAGCTTCCCGGTTAATCCCCTTTCACGTTTGGCTACCTGAGAAGGCAGAGCCCGGTTGCATCCCGGACAGCGTCTTGAGTGGGGGAAGGAGGAAACAATGTAGTGAAGTTTCCATTCATGAGTTACATAAATGGATCTTTTCGCCTCTGGCAAGAGGAAACATCGGTCGGAGACAGACGAGGAAGCAGGTAATGTAAAACCAAGAACGAATGTAAAACCGTTTACACCTGTTTCCGTTTCTGAGTATTGCGAACTGGTGTTCTTGCTCCGAGAAAACCCTGATTAAACAAGGGAGAGCATGGCAGAAGCTTTGGAACGGTGTATGTTATGTAAATAAATATAATTCTTTTAGTTTGGCGTATTTTAAGGCTCGTGATCCCCTCGCCCTTCCCTCTTGTAACAGCCCACGGAACACGCAGTCATTGGTTTAAATAAATTAAAAATATTCAGTACGGCTAATTCCAAAACAACAACTTCTTACGAGAGACCGACATTTACAGCATATCTGAAAGAAGAGGATTATGCCAATTATTTGGCTTTTGATTGGAGATTTTAAAGTGTTTATCTCTCTCTTTTCTGCCAACCTTATTTAAAATAATTAAACACGTTTATTTTCAGTTTTACTCACATTTTACTTTGCATTACAAAATGTTTTAGTCTGGCACAGTTAGAATGCGTAATGCTCTTAAAATTTGACATTGGCGCCAATGATTCCACAAATTCCTTAC